CAGTCAAAATCCTGACCTAAATCCAATTCAGAATCTGTGGTAAGACTTGAAAATTGCTGTTCACAGACACTTTCCATCAAATCTGACAGAGCTTGAGCTATTTTGCCAAGAAGAATGGGCAAAAAATGTCACTCTCCAGATATGCAAAGCTGGTAGAGACATCCCCAAAAAGACTTGCAGCTGTAATTGCAGCGAAAGGCGGTTCTACAAAGTATTGACTCCAGGGGGGGCTGAATACAAATGCACACAACACTTTTCACATATTTGTCAAAAATGGTAAACAATTTATCATTTTCCTTCCACTTCAAAATTATGTGCCACTTTGTGTTGGTCTATCACATAAAATCCCAATAAAATACATTTACATTTTTTGTTATAACATGACAAAATGTGGAAATTTCAAGGGGTATGAATACTTTTTTTCAAGGCACTGTATGTACTGTATGTGTGTGTGTGTATATATATATATATATATATATATATATATATTAGCATAATTATGACTATAAGTATATTTATTGGAATACCTTACCTGAACCATATAATGTCCATGACTGTTTTCAAAAATTCTGTATGTGTAGATTATTCTTCCAAACCTATCAATGAGGGGAAGTATTCAAATCTTTTAAATAAAGAGAAGAGAATGTTAGTGTTTGCTCTGAAAATCTTCTGCATTTTCTATCAGTAGAGGACTCAAAACTGTGCCCATTTCTGGCTGACAGAGGCAAGTGGGCCCCAGCTTCACAATGCCACTAGTCATTAGGTTGGAACTGACTGTTGCTAAGGGAAAGACTTTAACAGTGCTAAGAATTTGTATACAATTTTTATTTTGCAAATAAAAAAATATTTCAGGATATACTTGAAAAAAATGTTGGTGTTTCTAAAAAGCCCAGTACTACCTGCAATGCCTTCTTGGAGACTGTATGAAATCATAGTTAAAGTGACTGTAAAGTTTATTTGTTTTAAAAACAAAGATGTCATACTTACCTACTCTGTGCAGTAGTTTTGCACAGTGTAGCCCAATCCTCTTTTTAGTTTCCCCACCAGCACTCTTGGCTCCTCCTCTTCTCCATGTGCCACCATAGAAATCTGCTTCCTACTGTGGCACACTGGTAGGCTCGATCCTGAGCTGAGCTATCTGCCTCCATTGCCACACAGCGTGGCTCCCCCCCCCCCCTCTCCCACTCCCTTTGATTGATAGCAGCAAGTGCCAGTGGCTCCTGCTGCTATAAATTGGCCCTGTGAGGAGGAAGAGAGTTAAGAGAGCTGGATTGAGTATGGGCTCAAGTTAGCAAAAGGGGGGGGGGGGGGTGGTGTATGGGGAGCTGCACACAGGAGGTTTTTTACCTTAATGCACAGAATGCATCAAGACAAAAAAAAAAAATGTACCTTTACAATCACTTTAAGGTGCTACAATTTGCGTTTTTTTTTTGTAGCGCTTTGAAGCAATTAGGAGCATTTAGTAGCGCTCTTCCAGAGACAGGAATTCTTTACTTTTTGTGTTAGTCCATTAGAGACAAATTTAACACTTTTAAAATAATGAAAAGGTAAAAATGGTTCAAATATAATATTTATAGAAAAAAAAGGTATTGCAAAGGTTGCAAAGATACAACAATGGAACAGCAAAACAACCAGGGTTGAAATATGAAAATACAGTATGTATCAAGTCCTGTTTCAGCAAAATCCAATCAATCAGCAAGAGGAGTGCAGGGCTGTCATAAGACTTGACATGCCTTCCTCCTTTTGATGCTACATGGGAGCTGTCACCTGCAGGGCAGCCCCTATTCTCTTCTCCAGAGGGGGGTGTTGACAAAAAATATCAATTAACTGGCTAAGGAGTGGCCATGGGATGTCACTGCGTTTACAAACATGCCACAGGTCTAGTTTTCTATAGGTATTATTGAACACCTACATGTTACAGTCTGCTAACTTGTATATCAGGGGTCTCCAAACGTTTCAAACAAAGGGCTAGTATACTGTCCTTCAGACTTTAGGAGGGCTGGATTAGGGCCAGTGAGGGTAGAAAATGTCCTGGCCCCAGCATCAGTGAGAATAAACATGGTCTCAGGGTTGTTGGTCAGTAGGAGGAGGAGTGCCCCACCATTTGGTATTAGTGGGAAGAATAGAACACCATCATTGGTTTCATGGGAAGAAGTACTGCCCCATTGTTGGTCTCAGTTGGAGAAATAGTGCATCAAGGGCCGGATAAATGGTAGAAAAGGGCCACATCCGGCCCTCGGGCCGCAGTTTGGAGACCCCTATTGTATATTATTGCCCAGCATGCAATTACCTTTTGAATGGATATAAATATGATAGGTTTCTGATGTCCAGTTCACATAGGAGAGGCAATGTGTTTGGACTTAAACTTTGCTCATTAGTAAATATTCCCTTATTCTAGGAGTACTGTTTTTATGAAATACACTGTAGTGTTTGGTTCTTTGCTAATAACCAGCCAGACAGGAATGTAGATTCAGCCTGTCCACCTACTGAGCTATTTATGACTGATAAGGGGTTTGAGACCAGGAGGGATATCTGTTAAGATTCTAATTGCTCAAGCTTAACAGTTTGATTGTTTTATGAGTTCACCCTCTCAGTTTGAAAGGGCTTACATGTGTCCTCTCAATGGACTGATAACAATGCCCTGTTATTTGATGTGTCCAGACCCATAGCCCCTGGTTTACTCAAGCCAAATGCCTATGGAGATGCACTTTTGGAATTATAGCTATATTCTGGAATGGGTGTCATGGGGGCTGCCTTTCTTATGCTGGATTGTGAAATCATATGGTCAAAGAATTAAGCTCCACCAAAGTAGTTTGCCATTCCTCCCAGCCATTCAAATTTGATTTAACCAGCTCAATGGGTTGTGATCAGTGGTCACAGTGACGTGCCATCCATAGAGGTACATTTGCAACTGCTGGAGAGCCCATGTGATTGTAAGACACTCTTTTTCAATCATGGAGTATGCTACTTCCCTGGCTCAGGTAGAGGATGGGATATTCCTCTCCAGCATCATCCACCTGGCTCAGGACTGCAACCAATCCATAGGCAGAGGAATCAGTCTGCACTAGGATAAAGCGGATGTAGTCTGGAGCCTGTAGCTCAAGGCGCTGGCCAGCACCTCCTGCAAGGCTTGAAAGCCTTCTCAAGACACCATTATAGTCAGTTTCTTTTTATTTAAGTCAGTCAAAGGTTTCACCAGGCTACTGTAGTTGCATAAAAACTTCCTATAGTAGCCAGCTGTCCCCAAGAATGACATAACCTGCTTTTGGTTTGAGGGGTAGGTCAGGCCATGCCAGGATCTGTCTCAGGTCTCTGTCTTCCCTGTCTCAGGTCTCAGGGTGCCTCCTACCTACCTTTAGAACCATTTTAGGCATTACTAAAATTGTTGCTTCTCCAAAATTATTAATGTTAATAATTTTTTTTTTTTGCTTTGGTACAGTTGTGTTCAAAATAATAGCAGTGTGTTGAAAAAAAAGTGAATAAAGCTCAAAATCCTTCTAATAGCTTTTATTTCAATACACACAAATGCATTGGGAACATTACACATTTTATACCAAATCAAAACATGAAGAAAAATATATCAAATTTGTGTTGTTCCTCTAAAAAAATTGAAGAAAAGTGAATATTAGACTGTTAAAAAAAAAAAAAAAGTAGTGTTTGTATTCTCCTTTACAAACTCAAACATTCACTATATAAACTGAAAAATGTTTGAAGATTTTGCTTTCCTTTGAATCACTTAATTAATATTTAGTTGTATAACCACTGTTTCTGAGAACTGCTATACATCTGTGTTGCATGGAGTCAACCAACTTCTGGCACCTATGAACAGGTATTCCAGCCCAGGATGATTGGACTACATTCCACAGTTCTTCTCTATTAATTGGTTTTGCCTCAGTAACTGTACTTTGATGTCACCCACAAGTTTTCTATTGGATTAAGATCTGGGGATTGGGCTGGCCACTCCATAACGTCAATCTTCTTGGTCTGGAACCAAGATGTTGCACATTTACTGGGTGTGTTTGGGGTCGTTGTCCTGTCAGAACACCCATTTCTAGGGCATTTCCTCTTCAGCATAACCTCTTCAAGTATTCTGATGTGTTCAAACTGATCCATGATCCCTGGTATGCGATAAATAGGCCCAACACCGTAGTATGAGAAACATCCCCATATCATGATGCTTGTTTCACTGTCTTCACAGTGTACTGTGGCTTGAATTCAGTGTTTGGGGGTCGTCTGACAAACTGTCTCCGGCCACTAGACCCAAAAAGAACAATCTTACTTTCATCAGTCCACAAAATGTTGCGCCATTTCTCTTTAGGCCAGTCAATGTGCTCTTTGGCAAATTGTAACCTCTTCAGCACATGTCTTTTTTTTTCAACAGTGGGACTTTGTGGGGGCCTCTTGCAGATAGCTTGGCTTCACATAGGCGTCTTCTAATTGTAACAGTACTCACAGGTAACTTTAGACCTTCTTTCATTTTCCTGGAGCTGATTGTTGAGTCCTTGCCATTTTGGCTATTCTTCTATCCATTCGAATGGTAGTTTTTCGCTTTCTTCCACGTCTTTCAGGTTTTGGTTGCCATTTTAAAGCATTTGCGATCATTTTAGCTGAGCAGCCTATCATTTTCTGCACTTCTTTATATGTTTTCCCCTCTCCAATCAACCTTTTAGTCAAGGTACGCTGTTATTCTGAACAATGTCTGGAACGACCCATTTTCCTCAGAATTTCAGCAAGAAATGCACTGTAACCAGCATGTACAACATTTGCTGCCTTCCTTCCTTAACCACCTCCCGTCCACCATATAGTCCAATGACAGGCGCAAGATGGTTCTCTCGTCCTGGGAGGACGGCATATGATGTCCTGCCATTCTCACCGCACATGCGCGGCTTCGGGAGCGCGCAGCACGGCGATCGGCAGTGCGCTGTGTTCCTCGGACACAGCGGATCACCAATCCACGGAAAGAGCCGAAGACGTCGGCTCGGTCATGTGATCAGCTGTGTCCAATCACAGCTGATCACGTGTAAACAGGGAAATGCCGGTTATCGGCATTTCTCTCCTCTCGATCTGTCACGCTGACAGCTCGAGAGGAGAGGAGAGCCGGAAACTGGCATTCCGCGGAGGGGACATGTACACTGATCATCAGGGCACTGATCATCAGGGCACTGATGATCAGTGTGCCCTGATGATCAGTGTGGCCCCAGAAGTGCCAGCTGTCAGTGCTAAACAGTGCCACGTGCCAGTGCCCATCAGTGCCACATCAATGCCACATATCAGTGCCCATCTGAGCTGCCTTTCAGTGTCACCCATCAGTACTGCCAATCAGTGCCACCTATCAGTACTGCCAATCAGTGCCACCTATCAGTACTGCCAATCAGTGTGCCGCCTAACAGTGCCAGTCAGTGCCGCCTAACAGTGCCAGTCAGTGCCGCCTAACAGTGCCAGTCAGTGCCGCCTAACAGTGCCTCCTCATCAGTGCCCACCTATCAGTGTCCATCAGTGCAGCCTATCAGTGCCCATCACTGCAGCCTCATTAGTGCACATCAATGAAGGAGAATAATCACTTATTTACAAAATTTTATTAACAAAAACTAAGAAAAAATGTTTTTTTTCAAACTTTTCAGTGGTTTTTGGTTTAAGAAAAAATAAAAAACCCAGAGGTGAGTAAATGCCACCAAAATAAAGCTCTGTCACAAAAAAATTATAAAAATTTCATATGGTACAGTGTTGCATGACCGCGCAATTGTCAAAGTGTGACAGTGCTGAGAGCTGGAAATTGGCCTGGGCAGGAAGGGATATAAGTGCCCTGTAGGCTAGCAGTTAAATAAGGGCAATAATTGCCACCTGTTTTTCAAAGAATGAATGACCTCACTAATAGAACTCCACACTGCTATTATTTTGAACATGCCCCTTTCAATTAGTGATTCAGTTACACAGAATCAGCAGCATGCATGTCATGACTGTTGGGTCTGTTGGATTTCTATTACTCTACTACACCTGCTAGTAAATTATTTGCCATGTAGAAATATAATTTCTACCAAAAACAGTGATTGATCAGGTTAGTGATGTCTGACTGCTATTATTTTGAACACAACTGTATATGTTCCTCCAGGCAGTGAAGAGCACCATTTCTTTAGCAAACCCTTGCCTGTTAACCTAGAAAATGACCATTACTGTTCACTAACATTCAGCTCCCATTTGACTTTAATGAGGTTCAGATTCAGCACCCGAACCTTAGTGATGTTTGCCAAACCTGCCCCAAACAGAACCCAAGTAGACTTCTCACCATTAAACAAAAAAATACATTAAAAAAACCGACACATTCGCTTTAAGGATAGCATTCTCTAACCTAACAGTGTATTTCTAATACAATAGCTTCTTCTACCTACCAAGAAGCTCTCTTTTGTGACTGCTGGACTTTGCAATCCAGAGGTGCCTGCATGGGAGAACAAAAATACAATCTAGCAATATAAAAAATGTTAGCAAAGAAAATGTTTTGCTGTCTGCTCATTAGACTAAAAAGGAAGAAAGTAGGACTTCTTGTAAAAGCAGGAGCTAGCTGCACATTCCATTACTGGTAGAGCGGGAATGTGTAATATGCCTAATGTGTGTAAGGGATAGTACACCCTGAAGTATGGCTTGGACAGGAGAACAGCATGAGTTCCTGGTGGCCATGTGGGCATAAGATGGCAAGGAGATTCCCAGCAGGTATGAAGGACTGATAACCCAAACAGTAGGCCCCCTTGAGAGGGAACTGGCTTAACAACGCATCGCCAAGGGACAAGGGACCCTCTTACATTCTTTTTTTATATTATAGGTAAAATTACAATTTGCTGTATTTTTATTGATGTGATCAATTTTGTAATTTAATTTAAAGTGTATTAGGAAAAAGGGGTTAGTGACACAGAAAACTGATAATGTACAGTATATGGTTGGATATAACTATTTGCTTGTGAAATACAATAAAAATACAATTCTAAAAAAATAAATAAAATGTATGGATTTACTACACGGTAAATATATGAATAAAAGTTTACATACATAGGTGAATGCATGTGCTATTTTATATTTTTGTTCTGTATAAAATCTATCTAATATTAACTGATGTTTTGTAAACATTTTTTTACATTTTCAGTTGTTGATGGGGAAATTGCATATTTCATATTTCCTAAATAAAATTGTCTAACAAAATCTAAGTTATCTTATCTGACTTCATGCCAAAGGAATGTCATTACAGACTGACCATGTCCTTAAAAGGTCATGTTGCTTGCATTGTGGGTTGGCCATTCCTACCAACTAATCCTGCATATACTACAGGTAACACATGCGTCTGGTCTGATTGTCTGTGCCATACCCTGCAAGTGGGTGGAATTCTGTGGCATAAAAAGGCATCTTTAGTTTAGTATTTTTGTTATATTTTCTAATATTATTAGCTGTATCTGTCATTACCTAATTAAATGTTGTTTAATCATTTGTCATTACCTAATTAAAAGTGTTTGGATCATTTTTTTTTCATTTTGGATAGAGCAAGGGAGGATTGTAACCCCTGTCTGATTGTTTTTTTCGACATCTGTGTCCCATTGTGGAAATTTCCCTTCACTTCCTGTCCCATAGCCAAACAGAGAGTGAGAGGAAAACTCTGCAATTTTTGGGAATTCCTTGGGGACCCCCAGGTCAGCAGAACCGGTGTCACCTTTGGAAGATTTCACCTCTCTTACTTTTCTGAGGACAACCCAAAATGGGGGATTTTCTTTTACTTTCAGTAATGGTAAACAGGACACATAGAGAGGGTGAATCTCCATAATGGGGGCACAGAACGAAATAAAAACTGACAAGCGTTCTATTACCTCTGCTTTCTATCCAAATCTAAAAAAAAAGTTTTGCCTTTAAGTATACTTTAAACTATCACGTAACTGTGATATTTGTTTGTTCATTCTTTTTCTAGTATGTCAAAGTAAAAAAGTGCAACATTTAAGAAAAATACTATTTTTATTTTATAAGTTTATTGTGTGAATAGAATTATAAATGGCACAGTAACACTAGATATTTTCAAACTATCACTGGTCAAACTAGAAATATATTTTTTGTCTGTAGATTTATTTGAAAAACTGGATAATATGTGCAAGACAATATAGTCAAAAGAGAGCCTTTTCTGCTCACCCCCACCCCCTAAAAATGTACATGAAATGCTTTGCTATTATAAAAAAATGACACTTTTTTCCAATTCAAAAGGCTTATAACAATGTAAAAAATGCTGTGGTTCATAAAGTGTATACAAGTGCGGAGCTGAAGTGGAAAATATTGTTTCCAGAAGACTTACCATATATACTCGAGTATAAGCCGACCCGAATATAAGCCGAGGTACCTAATTTTACCACAAAAAAATGGGAAAAACTATTGACTCGAGTATAAGCGAGGGGGGAGGAATAGTGCCCCATCGTTGGTGTCAGTGGGGGGAGGAATAGTGCCCCATTGTTGGTGTCAGTGGGGGGAGGAATAGTGCCCCATCGTTGGTGTCAGTGGGGGGAGGAATAGTGCCCCATCATTGGTGTCAGTGGGGGGAGGAATAGTGCCCCATCATTGGTGTCAGTGTGGGAGGAATAGTGCCCCATCGTTGGTGTCAGTGGGGGGAGGAATAGTGCCCCATCGTTGGTGTCAGTGGGGGGAGGAATAGTGCCCCATCGTTGGTGTCAGTGGGGGGAGGAATAGTGCCCCATCGTTGGTGACCCCTGCTCCAGCCTGGGCTCGCTCGCTCCCTCCCTCTCCCATGGTACACACTTACCGGTCAGATGTCTTCCTTCTCCGGCCGCTCTCCTCCTCTTCACTCGCTCGATCTTCACGGTGCCGCTCGGCTCCTCCTCTCCAAGCTCCACCTCCTCGCCGGTGATTGGGCGCCTGTGTGCCTCTCCTGAGCTACAGTTCCGGCGGCCAATCACCGGCGAGGATTGATCCCGGGGGTGTGTCCAGATGACAGGGACGGCATGTCATCTGCAGACGTTGACTCGAGTATAAGCCGAGGGGGCCGTTTTTCAGCACAAAAAATGTGCTGAAAAACTCGGCTTATACTCGAGTATATACGGTACATAAGAAAATGGATTAAAATAAAGCACCTAGCTTAAATCTTGCCACCCAAAGTCTGTCCATCTTCTAAATTTTAGATATTTATACATATTTAAATCTATATGATAATGCTGTTGGGCTAAGCCGATGTAATTGTCTTCACAATCCTGAAAAGTTAAAGTGGTTGAGATTGGCAGAAAATGTAAGTGTGTAGGACCAGTAAATATTTTTGCTTGCCCAGTTTTGTTTTTCTCCTTTAACTAACTTGAAAGAACTAAATATTGTGTTTACATGTTATATTCACATGCCAAGCATCTATTATTGTGTCTAAGACACAAATGTATTAAGTACCCTCAAGGTCCCAAGAACGGCTGCTTCTACATGCCCCCCTCCCTTTTGTCATGAGAATGGAACAGTAGCTTGCCAAATGTATTTGAAGCAACAAAACATTTCTGCAGCAATAGTCACGCTTTAAATAAATACATCCTAATGCACAACTGTTTTGCATTTAGGTAGGACTGCTGCATGCAGCAAATGGGAACAGCAACAGTCTGTGCCTCATTACATAAATCTTTCTTTTCTATGGTGGGACTGGAGTGGGTGTACTTATCAAATTGCTCCACCAAACCCATGAAATACACTTTATTGCCCAAAGTATTGGGACATCCCTGCAAATCATTGGATTCAGGTGCAATCATCTCCATGGCCACAGGTGTATAAAATCAAGCACCTAGGCATGCAGACTGCTTCTACAAACATTTGTGAAAGAATGAGTCGCTCTCAGGAGCTTAGTGAATTCAATCATGGTACCGTGATAGGTTGCTACCTGTTCAGTAAGTTCATCTGTGAAATTTCCTTGCTACTAAATATTCCATGGTCAACTGTTAGTGGTATTATAACAAAGTGGAAGCAACTGGGAACAGCAGTAACTCAGCCATGAAGT